TCCAGCCGGGGAAAATTACTACCCCACAGTCACGACCGCGCACGGCGACGGCGGCCACACAGCATACCCCGCCGCCACGATGCCGTCCGCCTCCAGCGCCGTCCCACCCGCCGCGGCGCCGGGAGACGAGTCCCAATCCCAGAAGGTCCTCCTCGGCAGGTACGAGCTGGGCGGGCTCCTCGGCCGCGGGGCGTCCGCCAAGGTGTACCGGGCCAGGGACCTCCTCACGGGCCGGGACGTGGCCATCAAGTCCTTCCCCAACCCGCGCGCCGGCGGGCGCGACGGCGAGGGCTCGGCCGGGACCGCCGCCATTGAGCGGGAGGCGGCCATCCTCGCCCGCCTGCGCCACCGCCACGTCGTGAGGCTGCACGAGATTCTCGGGACCCGCAAGAAGGTCCACTTCGTCCTCGACCTCGCCGCCGGCGGCGAGCTCTTCTCGCTCGTCGACTCCGACGGCTGCATGACGGAGGACCTCGCGCGGCATTACTTCCGCCAGCTCGTGTCCGCCGTCCGCTACTGCCACTCCCGCGGCGTCTACCACCGCGACATCAAGCCGGAGAATTTGCTGCTCGACGGCGACGGCGACCTCAAGGTCGCCGACTTCGGCCTCGGCGCCGTCGCGGACGAGAGCCTCCACCACACCCTCTGCGGCACCCCGGCCTACGTCGCGCCGGAGATTCTCTCGAAGCAGGGGTACCACCCGGCCAAGGTCGACATCTGGTCCTGCGGCGTGGTGCTCTTCGTCCTCGCCGCCGGCTACCTCCCCTTCAACGACGCCAGCCTCATCAACATGTACCGCAAGATCTACGCCGGCCGGTTCCGGTGCCCGTACTGGTTCTCGCCGGCGCTGCGCCACCTGCTGCGCCGCATCCTCGACCCCAACCCGGCCACGCGCATCGACACGGACGGCATCCTGGAGCACCCCTGGTTCCGCCACGGCGCGAGCGGCGACGGCGAGCTGGAGAATCTGATGCGCGGCCACGAGGAGGAGGCGTGGTTCAAGACGGAGTTCAAGGAGGACATGGCCCGCGACATGACCGCGTTCGACATCCTGGCCTTCTCGCCCGGCTCGGACCTCTCCGGGCTGTTCGTCGCCGGGCCGGGCACGGAGCGGGTGTTCGTGGGCGAGCCCGCCGCGGCCGTGCTGGCCCGGGTCGAGGACGCCGGGAAGAAACAGGGCTACGGCGTGAGGAGGGAAGGGAAGGGCCGCGCCGGGCCGGTGTACGTGGAGGCTGAGGCCGGCGGCATTGTCGCCAAGGTGACCGTGTTCCGGATCGCCGACGCGGTGTCGGTGGTGGAGGTCGTCAAGGGCCACGGCGCGGAGGCCGCGGCGTTCTGGAGCGACTGGCTCGAGCCGGCCGTGAAGCCTCAGGCAGTGTGAAAAAGCTGCCGAGTGCGAGCCGGGTCGGGAATATCATATCGCCTCGCCGTGCCGTGCCGGCGCCGGCATGCCGCCGCCGCCGAGGGCGCGTGTGGTCGGAGATTTGTTGTTTCAAACTTCCAATGGCGAATTCGTTTGGTTTTTCTTTTCTTTGGGTCGTGTTTGAACTTGCAATGGCATGCCACGGCACTGCAAGTGTGCTGGTGACTGCAAAACCTGGTCGGCGGACCTGCTCTGTATATATTGTGGGAGGGAAGAATTCTTGCCAACTCGAGGCAACAATCGCCGTCATCAACAACTCACAGGGCCTGCGCACGACCGCATCGACCGCCGGCATGAACCTCGCCTCCCGGGCGGGGCGGAGAAGTACAATGAACCTGGACCGAAAACTTGCACAGAAGCACAACGACCGCGGTGGCGGCGCCATCGAACTCTCGGCTCGACGAGTCAACTATAGGCCTATAGCAGGAGAGCAAGATATACAGGGGGCTGCCGGCGGACGGCGGCGCGGTTTGGTGAAGAATATGATCGCCTTGCCGCGGCGGGCTGCCGGCGGACGGCGGCGCGGGTCGAGATTTTGATGCTTCCTATTTGGTGCAGTGCGTGAGCAGGATGTGCGCGTGCCATCCGGTGGCCGGCGACGTGCATCCATAATTCCAGCGCAAGGAGGAGTAGAGCATGATGGAAGAAAATTCTTGCGAGCGCAGACAAAGTTGTCGTCGTCGGAGAAGGCGCGCACGGACGCAGCGGCGGCACCGATGGATGAATCGTTTACCTCGTCAACCCTGCGCAAGAAAAGGAAAGACGTTCGGCTCCTCAACTGCAGCCGCGACTGCTCAATCGTGCAGGCCGCTTGGCCTGCCAAAAACAGAGCATTTTCCATGGAATCCTCGGCACCTAACGGTCGTGGCTGGTCGTTGGCGTGGAGTAATCAGTGCGCGTACCGATCATCGGTGCCGTGTGCGTGCGTTTCGGCTATAGGCTGCCTACGAGATCTGATCTCGCGTCCCACGAATCATGAATGAACTGTGCATGCATGATAACGTGGCGTAGGTGGTCTACCTACAAAGACACGGCCCCAGAATCCCACGAATCATGCGTGAGTATTTCGAGGGTATGCAGCTGCTTGGTACCACCGGCGGCGTATCGTCTCCATGTGCGTCGGCGCGGGCGACGGGACCGCGGCGAAGATGCCCCGCCGTCCGGCCGGCCGCGCTCCGCCACCGGCCCACCGGAGGTGTTCAATTGCCGACTGGTGCATAATAATTCGTAGGTAGGAGTACATTACAATTAAAGTCGTAGAGTAAGACCCTCATGGCTATCCTCTTTTCCAATGGAAGATGCTCTGCTCTCCGTGGCGTAATTCCACTGGAAAGCACATGATTCCTCGCTCGTGGCCATGCATCCAAAACAACAGTCCCGATCAGATCAACCAGAAATAAATAAATAAATACAGGTTGATCAAGCACCCCTAAACCATACTGTATCACTAACATGGACAGAAAAGCGACGACGTGCGGGACAACAAGACACTCGGAAGCGACGGAGCAAATAATGCGTGCCTGTTGCTGTAAACACAAAGCTAGAAGCAATCTTTCATGACCAATTAGGCATCTACGACGAGCAACGTCTTTGAAGCACCCAGCCATCTACTGCCTTTCGTCGTTCTCAGCTAGCAGTAGCGGCAGAGTTGAGGTCACCTCCCAACTTCATTTCCTGCGCGCATTGTTGCACTAGAATAATACTCCCCCGGTCCATCCATTTCAATGACAAGTATTTCCGGACGGACGGAGGTAGTAGTAGTGTATGGCGACTGGTCATTTTTCCTTAACAAGGCCGTGAGTCCCTGTCGACGTGCCACATGGCCTCACATCATTGGCGCGGAAGGAAGATCAGTGAGAAAGCATATATAGTCGCCCTCTCAATTATTGCCTCCACATGTATGAGCACCTGAACAATCCTGCCCCAGATCGGCTGAATGAAATTCTGGCTCAGTGATCGGCTGATTCTGCTCACGTATGCTCTGCACTTTACTGATAAGGGCTGTTAGTCTAGTATTTTTAGCCTGTAATGCTTGTGTGTCTTTTTTTTCTTCTGGAAGAAGAGTTCAGAGTAGATCTTCTTCTTAAATGAAAGCTTGCTAGTTTTTGTGTATGATCTTCTGCGTATCATCCCGGGGAATATAATAAGAGTTGAGTCGCCATAGTGACGGTGATTGACGCCCTGAAAGTGAATCGACACTTTACCTGAACGGGACGGAGGGAGTAAGAAAAGTACTAGTAGCAAACAATGCGACTTAAGCGAATCCCGTATTCCATCGATTTCTATATTTCTATGTTGCGTGCACATCTAAAAGAAATTGTACTACATGGCATCATGTATTACCGTAGTCGCAGGGTGTTAAGCTTAGGCCTTCTTTAATTCATAGGATAGGAATATCTTAGGAATAGAAAAAACATAGAACATTACGTGACATGTATCTTCATTCCTTTTAGGATGGAGATGTCACTTGATTAATAGGATATGATTTTTTTTCATTGAGTCTAGTCTAACTTTTTTTCTTCTTTAAAATGTGTAGGATTGTTTTTTTAAAGTGTAATATATTAATATCGCGCAGATATCAATTACACACAGTCGTTGCATCTACAAGATGTAGTAAAGACATCTAGGATGCACGTAACCAAACAAAAATGTTCTACCACAGCGACCAACTTCTCTCAGCAGCCGCACACAAACCACCACCAAATACAACACCCGAAAAATATAGAAGGTCTTCAAAATCAACATCTCAAAGAAGGAATCATCGCACAAGCACCATCATTGTCCGATCCAAGATCTTACGTTTTCACCTTGAAAAAATCCATGCTCTCAAAATAATTTTTCCAGCAAGGCAATTACCAGGCACAACCAATGAAGATCAAACCTTAGGTTTTCACCCTAAAAGTCACGGCTCGGCACCTGAAGAGTGCCACAGAAAATGAATTCCTCCGGTGCTCCCGCCCCCACTTGACACAGTTGATCCTGAGAGTTACCAAACACTTGGCTGACTCCATCGCCTCAAAGGCTCTGTCTATCTAACTGATCCTCCGATCTCAGCCACCTTGACCTTCTCCACATATGTCTACACCATACAAATCGAGAAGCCGACATGTCCCATGGTGTCAACAAACAATAGTGCTTCGCTCCACACCGTCATGGAACCTCGTAGGTTGACATGGTGTGGACGACTGAATTCTATTCGATCTAGATATCTTGGGAAGGATCTTCGGCAGTAGTTCCGGAACACGTCGATGACGAAATCAAGGAGGACCAATCATGTAGGTAGTTGCCATGATGCGAGAAGAGCACGAGGAGAACCACCATTGTTTTCACGGCAGCAGGCCCCCACGCCGCCCCGATCCAGCCCGTCGCCGCCTACCTGCCAACATCCATGGCTTGAAGCCTGCCGACCAGAGCCCCAAGCTGCATCCGCCGACGAGGCACACGACCGATCGCGACTTTGGGCCGAGCTCCACGAACCCACCCCAGATCAGATAGAAGGGATCGGTACAGTGGCGGAGCTACGTTGGTTCCTGCAGGTGCCGTGGCCCCCCAGCCTTGATAAAACTACATGAGGAATTTTTTAGGAAAGATTAGATTAAGAAAAATATTGTCTTCTGCCCCCTGCAAACACCCTTATTTCCTGTTTGCCCCCCCAACGCATCTTGCCTAGCTCCGCCAGTGGATCGGTAGCCAAAGTCATCGCTGCAAGCCGGGGCACACCACCAAGCGGAGCATCCCACCACGCCCGTCACCAAGCAGCGCCGCCGCCGGAGCCTCGCAGCGAGCCGTCACCAGATCGGAGCTGCACCCATGGAAGGCCCCACCGACGCCGGCACTGCGCTGGCTTCGCCCGACAAAGACCCTCGGTGGCGGCGAGGGAGAGGGGTTGGAGCCTTGGAGGGGAGGGTCGTCGGCCGGTGTACCGATCATCTGTGTCGTGTGCGCTTCGGCTATACGCTGCCTACGAGATCTGATCTCGCCTCCCACGAATCATGAATGAGCTATGCATGCGTAACGCCGTATCGGCTTCATGTGCGTCAACGCGGACGACGGGACCGCGGCGAAGATGCCCTACCGTCCGGCCGTGCTCTGCCACCGGTCCAACTGAGGAGTTCAATTGCCGACTCCGTCCCACAAGACGTTTTTGTAAGCTTGCAAAAACGTCTTATACTATTGTTGAACGGAGTAGTACAGTACAATTAAAGTCATAGAGTAAGACCCTCCTGGCTGTGCTTTTCCTAACGATGCTCCGCTCTCCGTGGCGTAATTCCACTGGATGCACATGATTCTTCGTTCGTGGCCATGAATCCAAAACAACAGTCCCGATCAACCAACCAGAAAATAAATACAAATTGATCAATCACCCCTAACCTGTCGCTAACATGGACAGAAACCTGACGACGTAGAGGACAACAAGACACTCGGAAGCTACGGAGCAAATAATGCGTGCTGCTCCCTCTGTAACGTTTTACAAGACGTTTTTAGATAACATAACAGTGTCAGAAAAACGTCTTATGTTAAGTTATGGAATATATAAGTACGTACCAGTTGTCGTAAACACGAAGCTACAAGCAATCCTTAATCAATGGCTCTTCCTGTACAAGAGGCATCAAGGCACTGATCGCCGGCACCAATCGGCCATTTACAACGGATAAAGTCGTTCTCAGTTATCAGGAGCAGAGATGAGGCCACCCAACTTTATTTCCTGTGCGCATTATTGCAGTAAAATAATGTACTACGGCAACAAGTCATTTTTCCTTAAGGCTGGTCATAGAGGGAGTAACATAGGTAGTAACATAGATGTCACATAAGCAAAATTAGTGATGTGGCAAGTAGTTAATGAGGAGAGAGGCAAATAGAATAACATAATATGTTACCATCACATAGCGGTTTCCAATGCATAATGAGTCTACAAAGTAATAAATAAAGGCAACTATGTTACCACACCTATGACACTA